TATTATATATATATATATATATATATATAGATTTAGTTTTTGAATATAAATGTTTTCTTCATTTGTTGTCAAGTTTGTTCTTTTCCTTCAGTTTGGTTTATGGAGTTATCATAAAAGCAAAGATTTTTCTGTATGTATAGTTGTTGTAAGCAAGAAAATGGAAAATTTTGGGAGAAGGTCTTAGATCAGCTTCCTTTCTTCCTCAATTCTCTCTCTCTCTCTCTCTCTCTCTCTCTCTCTCTCTCTCTCTCTCTCTCTCTCTCTCTCTCTCTCTCTTTTTCATCTGCAAAGTTGTTTTGGGATTCTTGGCAACCTGTCAAGCTCTCATTTGTCAAAAGCCTTATCACAAACCTAATTAGGGTTTTTCCTTTTTATTTTTTCTTTGTTCATCTAATGTTTGGTTAATTGAAACAAATTTGAATTTGTAGTTCAAATTATATGGTAATTAAACCCATGATTGCAACTTTGTGAATTGTTAATGCAACAAAAATTAATTAAAGTATAGAGCCCTAATTAGGGTTTTGTCACTTGTTATGTTTTCAATTGTGCAATTCTCAAAGTTCAGAAGGTAATAAAGAAAGTAATAAATATTAGATTTTGATTTCATTTGTAGATAGATCTAAACATCCCATGTTGAATATTTTTTATTTGTCTCTCTTTCTTTTTTTTTTGTTTTTTTTGTTTTTTACTACGAGTTATAATTAAACCTAATCATATCCAATCAAAAATTACAACTTGATTTTAAAAATTTGTGATTTTCCTTCTAATATAATTGTGATCATAATCTCAATTTAAATTCTCTTAATTTTTTGTATTAAGTTCTTCTCCAAATGTTTTTTTTATTTTTTTATTATTTATTATTTTGAGATCTAACTATGGAGGTTTCTTGTTTAGTTAGAAGATTGAATAGGAAATAGATTTGCCTAAGTTACAAGACAAATCTTTGGCTAACGTCACACACGATTTTCTTGTTCTTGACTTTTTTTTTTTCTTTTTGTGAGAAGTAAATTTACACATTTTCCAATTTTTAGTGGGTTTATTTTGTCATATAACTTTGAGTACTTTCTTGAAAGCTTGGTAAAAAGCTAAAACGGAAAAGATAAAAAAGTGAAAAGGAGTGGCAAGCCAATCAAAATCCTTCAATTTCCTTTAATTTATATAAAAAAAAATATTTATTTCAGTATGTGCCTTATTTAATGAGCCCATCAACCTGCAGGCCATAACTTACCATTTACAGTATTCTCAATTCAATTTTTATTTTTTTTTAACTTTTCATTCATATTTATATGTAATTATCTAACCAAAGCTCCACGTAGAGCTATTGCAAAACCCAAAGAATTTACGCAAATACTTCAGTTCGGTTTGTTGGTTTACGTAAACGAGTCGAATTCGATGAACTAATATTTGAGCTGGTCAATTAAATAAGTCCAAACCTTTTAATTTTCTATCACATTTTTACATTTTTGTGATTTTTAAATGAAATAGTCAAATCAAACTTGTTGGTGAACAAACAATATATGTTTGCGAATACATCTAAGGTTTTAAGTTTACTAAACGAGCCAAATTAATCTTAAACGAGTCGAGCTCACGATGAGCTAGCTTTGACTCGTTTATTGAACCATCACCAGTTTAGAACGGAAGCTACTCGACTCGACTCAACTCGAATAACACTGCTAGCTAGCTCTAATTTTTATTTTCCTAGAAAAAAAAATTAAGAGTGAGTGAGAGGATTAAGTGAAGACTGTTCAAACATCAAAGTCATATATTCTTGTACAAGCAAAATCCCACCAATAGGAGGCTTCTAAAATTCTGATCCCTCGACTTTTTGTTTTTTTTCCCATGCCCAAAGATGGACGGTTGTGATTTGCTCTGAATTTAAAAGGTGCAGTTAATGGTATTGTCCTTGGTGTAAATGAAAGGGTTTTGTTCTGCTGTGTGTGACCTATATATTAAAAAATACTATGAGCCAATGATATTGCGAGTAAAGTAAAAAAAAAAAGTGCCACGTAGGCAAGCGCAGCCAATCAGGGCCTCGATGATGTTAAGGTGGCTTCAAAACTGATGAGAAATAAAGGCTGTGATTTGCATTTATTCTCTTCTGTTTTGTTTTGTTTTGTTACTACGATATTAAATCATGTCAAAGTGGTCATTTTTTTGAATAGACAGATTAAAACCTTGACTTGAGAAACACTCAAATGTTCAATCACTTGTTGCTTATTATTATTATTATTATTATTATTATTATTATTATTATTATTATTATTATTATTATTATTATTATTATTATTATTTTTTT